ACCGCTCAACCCGAACGACCCTCACCAGTGAGGCCAACAACAGAGAAGGTGCCACCCAAGCCACTGAGTCCAACTGGCAATGAACCTGCCCCCGTTAACCAGAAGGGGCAAGTGAGCCAACTGCTGCTGGAACAGGCAATGAAATCGCAACCGTTAACCAGCCGAGAGCTAAGGAGCTTACTGCTGTTGGACCAAATGAGGAGCGGGAGACTGTTATCACTGAAGAAACCATCGGCGGAATCGATGTGACAGTGGAGTCTTACAAAGAACAACCCGCCGAGGTCCCCGCTGCCACAACCGCTAAAGCTGCCAGTGAAACCGAAAAGGTCGAGACAATCATAACAACTCTTCCTATTTTGAAAATGTCTCCAAAAGCAACAGAGACAACACTGGGGACAGCAGAAGCAGAGCCGACGCCATACAGTCCCAAAACGCCAGTAGAAACTGGAACACCTGCAGAAACTCTGACTCCGGCCTCAGAAAAATTAGAAAAAACAATCTTCGATGAGGAAGAGGATGAAGAGAAAAAGAAATTTCGAGAAGAACAAGCTCAGCTGCTAGCCGTAATGCAACAGTTACAAGAAAAACGGGAGCGTGAGCGACAAAAGAAGAGGAAGATGAAGGTGTTGACCAAATTGCTAAAGTATTGGAAGCCGCTGACCCAAATCCAGCTGTGATACAGGAGATACTTGGAATGTAAGAGAGCAGAGCAGCTGGAGTACGAGGCAGTGAGGCAACTTGTGTTTATAAGAGACGTCACTCCCGAACCAGCACCCGATTCCACAAATGAGAATGAGCCAGTGCACATCAGTTCGGCCGCGTCTGAGGACAGTCACCAGCACCCGCGGAGGCAAGCACATTAGCCTCCCGCGCCACATTTGACACCTTAGGAAAACGACTGGATGAACTCGAAGAAGCCATGCTCAGCCAATACCTAATACTCCAATCACTGATAGATACACATGCAAGGAATGTGGCTGAGGTACTGACCACTGGCAGGAAGGCGAGCTCCGCGCTAAAAGCGCACATAGAAGCGCTGGAGACTCAAGCTGCAAGCCTGGGTGCATCTCAGACAGAGATTCTGAAGGCACTTTTGACCATCACCCAGCAGAACGCGATCCTTATGGAACAACAACTTGATACAGCGAAGAATCTCCAAATAATGGAAGAGCTAGTGCGGCAGCTGACAAAGAATTTACCTCCGGGACGAGGACCCACAGGCGAGAAAAAGAAATGATTTAAGGTCCTCCCCGGTGTACATAATTTTTGGAAATGGCAAGGGCTGTACAAGGACTAATGATCAACGATACAACAATTTTTGGTAACAAGTGAAATTTATCTTTATTGTATGCCTACCATAATCTAAAGCATGTGTTTTTATTTGAGATACTTTTAATACCTTGTTGCGTTAGCCCTGTAATATATTTTAGAGTAAAGTTAGATAACTTGCAAACAACAGACTGAGTAATCGTCCCTCAACCTTTATCAATAATGCGAATATTAATGTTAAAATAAGTAACAACGGATATGTCTTGTGAGGATTAGTGCCCCATTCGTTTCAAATTTCTCATATTCAGTAGGGCAAGCGAACTTCTGCCTATCGAATTTGCTCATAAGAGATGACTTAAAAAGAGAAATCCTTAAATATGGTTTAAGACACGATCTAAGCAAAGCAGGGAGGACCTATCATTACAAGGGAGATGAAAAGGCCTAGGTGCGCGAAAATCAAATAAGATCATGAGTAGACACAATGTTTGTTTGAAACTCTTGATCCAAAAAAAAAAAAAAAAAAATGATTCTCCGCACCCTTTGGCCGAAGGCTTCCTTAATAAAAAAAATAATCCTGCTGAGCGAACAAAATAGGCGATACCGGGATAACTTCGCTCATGTTAGATCAAATGACAAATTTGAATGCTTAATGATCAATTGTCTCTATTCGAGATTCACCTTGTTCTCAATCATGGCACTGATCTTAAGCAATACTTAACTGCAGTGAACATAATAACTCTTTGATCTCATAATTTAGTTTGTTCGAGGACGAACAAAAGTCTAGTGTTAGGAGGTTTGATGACCCCAAATATAAGCATATTCTTCGCTTGACAAAACTACGTATTATTTGAATTTCTGTATAAAAACTATCACAATAACTTATTTATGACATACTTTATTGATCTATCTCGCTTGACATGATCCATAGTTGGTTTGTTGAGATTATTAACAATTTTTGCCCTTTTAAGCGGTGTTTTGGATCCGAAAAAGCTAAGGCAGATGAGACAAGCGATAGTCATTTTCGCTCACAAGCGATGACTCCATCGCCCAGAAAAGCTAAGGCAAGCGACAGATTCCACCGCTCGCAAACGATAGCCACCTCCGCTCGCGAATGACGCTCCAGCGCTTAAGCCAGCGACCAGACACCCACCGTAGAAAAGTGACGGCAACTCAACGCAATTATCGCCTAAGTGTCCAACTTGCAGCGGTACAGTCATTCGACTACTAGCCAACACAAGCAAGCCCGCTTAACTGCGGTGATGCCCTTTTGCCATCTGGCAAGCGAGGAAGATTTGCACATTTACAAGTCAAAGCAAGCGAAGTGAGCACCTTGGGAGTTATGGCCAGCAACTGCTTCAACTGAATAACCGCCACCAACTGCCTAACTACTTAGCGGTTGGAACTATCTTGTAACCGCTTGCAATCGCTATTTCTACCAGCTATAAATAGGGCCAGATATCTGTATATAGAATATGCTTCGAGAGGAGTATACCAGCACTTATTTTCGCACACTCTAGCTGTCTTCCTGTTCCCGAGAGCTCAAAATCTGTAAGGGAGTTCTTCATAGGAATGGCCAGGGGAGTTGAGATTTCTCTTCTCCCTTGGCAACCACTTTACTGCTTAGTTAGTTTAGTTTGTTGCTTTAATTACAGTTTTTGTAGAATTAGAAATTCCAACTTTGGTAGTAAGTAATGAAATATCATTTGTTCTTCATTATCACTTCCTTCATACTTTTCACATTTATATAAACCCTAATTGTAAAGAATTTTCACTTCGCTGGCAAAGAGCACAAAAAGATTGATTATCCAAGCCTTGTCTTTTGCCACAAACAGATTTAAGTTAGTTCAATGTAGTTGAGTATGTGGGAGCCTTGTCGACTTGCTTAACTACTGGTTTAAATTCAATTTTGATTAAAGAGATGTAAAAAAAAAGGGTAAAATCACTTATGAGACATCATTTGAGATAATTAATGGGGCATAGACGATGGTCTATTGGGTCGCAAAAACTTCTAGTGACAGTAGGGTTTCTTTCTTATAAATACTCTTTTCGTCACAAAATACTAATCTTATTTTTTTTGTCTATTCTAAAACAATAATTTCATTTTTATTTTCAGTAACTAATTCTCTGTATTTTTATAAAATTATCCCAATTTTTTTCACATAATTACATACACTATGAGCATTTTAATTTTTCTAAAAACACTTTTACACAAACTATCAATATAATAATATTATTTATTAATTCTCGTGTCTATCTCAAATATCTTTGTTGTTTTAGGACGGAGAGAGTATATTATTTCATAGATTTTTTTTAAATTATATAAAAAATATATTACTTTTTTCATCTCACTAAAAGTGTCCATATTTCTGTAGATACGGAAGGAGTATTTTCTTTCTAAATATATATATATATATATTTTATTCTCAAATAAATCAACATGCAATATAAAATATAAATCAACCAGTCCCAAACATCTTGCAATATTTTTTGTTTTTGGTCTGTGACATCCTCCGATATTTTTAAAATATGAAATAATTAACTTCATTTAATTCATATATCACTTTATCCCTCTCATCGCTCAAATAAATAGATACTTCATCTTTCATCATATTACTTAATTTTCAAATTATTCTATTTAACAAAATCCACTTAAATTTTCGTGTCAAAAATAATATTGCACCATATTTAAAACAGACGAAATATTATTTTTTATATTACCGATATAATTTCATATACCTCAATACACATAAAAACATGAAAATATATACCGCATATTTTTGCTTTGTTTTTCATATGTACACTCTGTCCCTTTCTTTGCCATTCATTTTATATGGGGTGGGGTTAGTCGTCTCCTTACCTCTCTCTCCTCTCATTATTATTATTATTATTATTGTCATTAATTTATTTATTTATTTAAATAAATAATAGCCATAATAGGTGTTACCCAAAAAAGGAAGGTGAACAAACGAGTGAAACCACTTATACTAAAACTACTTCTAATCCTTTCTTTATTTTACGTATAAATAAACAAAATATTAATGTCTTAGCGTGTGGGGAAAGCTCGAACCCACAACTTTATTTAATTTTAATTTGCAAAAGTTGGGGAATTCAATTCATTTTAATAATAAAAAAGCAAACCCAAAAAACATATATCAATCTCTCTCCATGAATCTTGTTCCACTGTGAGTTGATGTTCATATCATCATGGTGGATTACACTTGGTGGAATGGATATCGTTCTTTGTCCCTTTCAATAATTCTTAATGAAATAAATAATTAAAAGAGAGGGTTGTGTATTATTTTTATTCTATTTTATTATTATTATTAATTAGGCTGACTCATTTGTAATGGATAGATAGAGCTCTCCTCTAACTAGTACTCTAGTCTACTGCTATAACTACTACTACTACTACTCCTCCTACTCCTACTGGCTACTACAGTAGCTGTGGTCTAATCTAAATACTCTCTCTCTCATTGCTTCTCTCTCTAAAACACACACACACGCGCGCGCACTATTTTGCTATCTGGCTTTTGGCTGCCACTTTATTTACTATCGTCTCTATCTCTATAATGGAGGAGGAGTCACTGTCAGAGAATGAATGAATGGCTGGGAAGACTGAGTCAATCTCCTTCCTTTTACACTTGTCTCTCACTCACACACTCTCTCTCTCTCTCTGGTATACATACACACACATACATACATACATACATACAGGTGTATTTATTTATCCATGTTTTGAGTTTGTTGTTCTATGAGCTTGAGCTTGAGCATTCACTTTCAATTTCAATATAAATGGGATTGGATTCTGGGCTCTTCCTATTTATAATTCCACTTTCTAAATAGCATAGCTAAGCCATGGTCAAGTTTTTGGGCACCCAGCTCTCTCTCTTCTTCTCTTCCTCTCAGAGTCATTTCTGAGGTACACTCCACCCCACCCCACCCCTCTCTCTCTCTCTCTCTGCCCTTTCTTTGGGTCCCTATATGCTTCTTCAAATTCCAGTCTTTGTCAATAGAACCCCCAGAAGTGAAAAAGGAGTTTCAGGAAACGAACAGGTAAGGTAACCCGCCCTCTCTCACAAAAATATAAAGGGTTCTCTTGGGTGGGTGGGTGGGTGGTCTAGCAAGTTGTAAGCTGGGTAGCCTTTTTGTTTCTCTTCTGTTGTGTTCTTGCTCCAAAAGTGAATTTAATGTTCTCTGAAATGGGGATTATGATTTTAACTGTTTATATAGCCTGCCTTCAAAATTATAATTGAAAATTAACGAATCTGGTCTGGTCTGGTCTGGTCGCCCATCCTTTCATTTTTTTTTTTCCTTTTCCTGGCGGACATTATTATGACTCATTAAAAGTGGAGTGGAGTGGAGGAAGAAAACTGATTGTGTTTGTTTTATTTTATTTTTTTCGGGTCTTTTACTTTCCCTTTTGGATCGACATTTCTCTGTGGCTGCGATAATTTAGGACAATCCGTGTATGAACACGGATTTGATCATCCAAATTTCTTGATTCTGTGCTTTACCTCCATTTGAGGAAGAATTTTTTGTTTTAAAGGTTATCATTGATGATGAGCAATTGGATTTGTGTCTCTTTAGATGGCACCAAAAACTTTCAATTTGGCTATGAGGAAAGTCGTTAACTGAATTACTTCTTCTACTGTTCTAACAGTTTTGATCTATGCCCAATTTAAATCCTCCCATTTTTGTGCAATGATAAAGCAGTTCTTGAGCTCCAAGTTATTGAATTACGATGATTTATATATATATGCTGCCCTGTTTTATTTTTATATAAATGAATCACCATCCTCATCGTGCTATTGTTTTCCATTCTTGATCAATGGTAAAAATATTTTGCAGCTGCATTTTGCTTAAATGGCGCATTGAAGGAGAATCGGGGCTGTTTTGGTAGAGACATGGCTTCATTATATGCTATGGGAGTGTAAGAGATTGTAGACGACGATCTTAAGAATCATCTGTCCGAATTTGGATTCGATTTCAATTCATTTGATCCTTTTCTATGGATCCTCTGCCGCCCTATTCGGGATCAACGAAAAGGGCAAAAGCATTGGGAAATATTGGCCAAGTTGCTCATTGCTTGGTCGACGGCTGCGACGCCGATTTGAGTCAGTGCCGGGACTATCACCGGCGGCATAAAGTGTGCGAACGGCACTCGAAGACGCCAAGAGTCTATATTGGGGGTCGAGAGCAGCGATTCTGCCAGCAATGCAGCCGGTATACAAAATCGCTCCTTTAAATTTAAGCTTTTAGATGAGACGGTAATTTGACATATCAGAAATGTATATTTCGATTTAGGTTCCATTCTTTGGTGGAATTCGACGAGGGCAAGAGAAGCTGCCGGAAACGGCTCGACGGGCACAACCGACGGCGCCGGAAGCCTCAACCCGATCCGGGCCTCGTCCGAAGTAACTCGGGACTGATTTTCTCGACCCAACAAACCATGGGAGGTTCAAGGCTTCTCTCATTCACCTCGCCGGAAATACTCCCGACCGCCGTCGTCGGGAACTCATCTTGGCCGGGGATCGACGTCAAGCCCGAAAACGAAATCCCGTTTTACGGCAACCACCTGAATTACGACGAGAGACCCGATATGTTCTCCTCCGAGTTCATACCCGGCGGCAGGGATCACACGTTCCCCGCCCACCGCCACCACGACGAGCCGTCCTCCGCCTGCCAGCCGCTCTTGAGCCCGAACACCAATGCAGGCTCGGAGCGTGCTCTCTCTCTTCTGTCATCCTCAACAAGGGAGTTTGTCCTGAACCATGGTGTCCAAACCGAGCCCGCCGCGCTCCCGCCGTTGCCCTACGGCGGGGCGGGCAGTCTGGGCAGGTATGCGTACCTTCAAGAGACGAGGCCGGCGGGTTCTGCCTCCGACTCCCACAGCAGCAACACGTCGTCGACTCTTCATTTCCCGGAAATGTTCCAGCTGGCGCCCGAGGGATCGTCCACCGTCGGATCACCTCATCACCAAACGCTTACGTTCACGTGGGAGTAGTAGTCGTTGATTCGATTGTTTATTTACGCGCGCACGTAGCTGCGTGAAATGTACCGTTCCCGATTAGATGTTGCATTCTTTTTACTCTCTGCGCCGGCATTCGGGCTTGTCGTCGTCGTTGTTGCGTTTCCGGCGCCGGCGCCGGTAATGTTGTGGGTATATGATCATTTTGTTTTGTGAATTGGGTTGTCCCAAGTGTCTCGCGCAAGAAAAGTTCTGTTATATTAAATACTCAATTTTTTACTATTTATATAAAAAAAATTAATTACTTTAAAATGGTAAAAAATCATACCTGAGATTTTTTTTTTTTTTGGAGATGTTTAATTAAGTGATGTTTTGATGTATGTGTTAACGTGGGATCCAAGTTTTTAATTTAAAATGAATTGATATTAAATAGATAAATTTCTCACTTTTGTAACATAAGGGAGCCCAATATTAATTTCAATGTCAGATATTCAATGGTTTCTTCACTCCATTCGAACTCTACTATTGATTGTGTTGAAATTAGTGAATGATGCCAAAGTTTGTAATTTGATGTCCCCACAAGCCTTTGATTTTGTTGTTTTGATATGTGGCTACAAATATAATGGAAAGATCACTGAATCATATTATGGAATAGTGACAAAATTGTATCATGCATGACATCACTATTAGGGCCTTTTTGTCGACTTATTAATTCATCACCTACTAGTCAAAATATTGTATAGAATAATACTCCATAAATAAAAAAAATTACTAAGATTAATTTGTTCACTTACTTACATGCAACGTACTTCCCAATGTAATTTAACAGAAAATACTGGCAAAATAATATAAAATTCTTGTGATTTTCCAAATCTGTTGACAACTTCGTATGCTCTTAAAATTTTATATTACTTGTAATTTCCAAAAAATTACATAAAAAACCCTCTTTGATAGTACCACGACCGAACAGTGTAATATACTTTACTATTACTACGCTACACTGTGTATGTAAAACTCAGGGAGCAGTTGTATTTGGATGTGTGAATTGTAATCGTCGTTAAGCACTAACGGATAAAGTTTTTTATACAATATTTTTAGATCACAAGTAGATAATATGAAATCTTAGAAGCATACGAAATTTTCAGCAAATTTAAAAAACCACATGGGATTTTTCTACTATTTTGCCTAAAATACTTAAACAACATATGATATATTTGTTGTATTTATATATATTTTGTGTTGACATCAATCGTAGCATATAATATGTGAAATTATGTTATGTGCTATATTTGTACTATAATATTACTTTTGTCTCATAAGAAGAGTATCATTTACTTTTTGTGTCGTTATATTTAATATTAAGAATATATTTATATATATATAATTTATTTCACAAATATTAGAGGTATTTTGTTTGTACTACGCATTAATATAATAATTAATATTAAAAAAAATATACGCAAAAAGTCAATGGTACTCTTCTTTTGAAACGGATGGAGTATTATTCATGTGTTGTTAGTGTTACGTATGAAATTTAGAATTAGGTTAAAAAGTCCAAGGTAAAAAGAAAAATGGGCCTAACAATTGAGGTGATCGAACTGGTCGAGGGGTACCACTGGAAACTCAGGTGAAAGTAGATATATTTCTAAGGAAATAGCGGGTCGGAAGGTCTGCAGGTCGGAAAGTCCGTAGGTCGAAAAGTCTTCAGGTCGGGAGGTTTGCAGGTCGGAAGGTTCGCAGGTCGGAAAGTCCGCAGGTCGGAAGGTCCTCAGGTCGAAAAGTCTGCAGGTCGAAAAGTCTGCAGGTCGGAAGGTCCGTAGGTCGGAAAGTCTGCAGGTCGGAAAGTCTGCAGGTCGGAAGGTCCGTAGGTCGGAAGGTCCGTAGTTCGGAAAGTCCGCAAGTCGGATGGTTTATCAGTCGGAAGGTTTGCGGCTGGACCAACAAGTCGGATGGTCTATAAGTTGGGAGGTTTACGGCTGGACCAAACAAGTCGGGTGATCTGCAAGTCGGGAGGTGTGCAGTCGGACCAACAAGGCAGAAGATTTGCGGTCGGACCAACAGGGCGAAAGAGTTGCGTTCGGGCCAAAAGGGCGAAAGGTCTGCAGTCGGTCCAGAGAGTCGGACACTGTTGAGAGTGAATGAAAGTGATAATTTCAGTCGGTTGAGGGCACGTGTCAGCAGGAGAGGGGTTAGCAGACGGTTGAAAAGAAGCGTTATAACCGTTCGGGCGATGGTTTCCAGTACCGTTTTTTGAAGAGTATTTAAGGATTAAAATTTGCAACTGGCAATTTATCTTCAATCAACTTTAACAAAAGCAAAGTCAGATTCGGGGATCACCACTTTAAATTTCCAGTATTTTTATTTCCAGTTAATTTTCTTATGTACCGTACAGTGTTTAGAGATTCCTAATCTCAGGCACTAATTAATCAAATTTAAGGATATTTCCATATCTTTGAATTTTACTTTTTGTTTGTTGAAAAAATACATCAACAAATTGGCGACCACAGTGGGAGAAAGACAAGATTGCTGATCCTACATCAACAGATAATTACATACGACTGAGGTCTGGCCGAATCATCAGAAAGATCGATATGGCAGGCTCACAACTTCAATCATCATCAGCACCAGTGGGAGAAAATATTCCACCACATGTCATGCCAAATTTAGGAGAGATTCCCCAACCACCTACCGATTGGTTGTCTTATGTTCAACAAATGAACAATCAACCAACTTCGGTTATGCAGAATATGTTGCGCGAGCAATAAAATCTTATGAAGAACATGTTAGATCAAGCATTATCAAGGGTTACTCTTCAACCCACCCAGACGCCGCCAGGGGTGTCACCATCAAGAATGCAAGCAAATTTTGCAGGGCCATCATATGTGGACAACACACTTCCAAGCGCCACAACGTTCAACCGAACAGATAGGGGAAAGACCCCTCTGACTTTTCCAAATAATATTCCTTTAGGGCCAAGGGTTGAGAATGTGCAGCCGAACATTACAAGGGAGGAAAGGCCAGAGGGACATGTGCAAGATCCTATTCTTATTCCTGTGCAAAATCCCATTGATATTCTTGATCATCAATATTTTCGTTTGGGCGATGAAATTGCTCACGTATTGAGGATTCAGTTTGGTCTAAATCCTCAGATGGCTAACCGACCTGCTTATCAAAGACCTTTTCCATAAAGGATTATTAATGAATATCCTCTCCCAAGGAATTACAGGCCACCAGATTTTCATGTTTTTTTCTGGAGAGGATGGATCCTCCACTATAGAGCATGTGGGGCGTTTCACAGCACAGTTAGGGGAAATTGGTAACAATTCTTTTTACAAGTTACAACTGTTTGGATTGTCTCTAACTAGGATAGCTTTTTCGTGGTTTGTAAGTTTGCCACCTAGGCAAATACAAACTTGGGAAGGTTTGGAGATGGCATTTCATGCCAGATTTTTCAATCCCTTGCCAACGGTTTCTTTGACTGACTTATTGGAAATGAAACAATATCCAGAAGATTCAGCGTCACAGTTTATTGAAAGGGTGCGATTGATTAAAGGACAATGTCCTACAATAATCAATGAAAAAGAGATGACCAATTTAGTGGTCCGAAATATGCATGGTCGCCTAAGAGATGCGCTCACTGCACATGATGTCGAGGATTTGGCAAGTCTCGCATCCAAGGCTGGATGTTTAGAATCTATTTTCAGGGAAAGGGATCAGAATTTCAGGCGTAATAAAGGTCAACATATGGCTAGTATGGAAACAGAGGCATACGACTTTGATTATGATCAAACAGAAGAGATGACGGCCGAAATTATTTCAGGGAAGCCTTATGTATGCTCTAAGTTAAAGCCAGCACCATGAACAGAAGTTAAAGGGCAACCGACCTTTGACAATTCAAAGGCCGATGAGATATTTGACATTCTGCTAACTGATGGTCAGATCCGAATTCCAAAGGGGCAGAGGTTGGCTACTAAGGAAGAAATCAAAGGGAGGTCATACTGTAAGTGGCATAACTCTTTCACACATAATACAAGTCAATGCACTCATTTTCGAAATGAGATCCAAAAGGCTATTAAGGTAGGCCGGCTCAAATATATTACTTTGGGAGTGGAGCAACAACTATTCCCAAAAGTAACCACAACAATGGTTAATATACAAGCAAGTTTCAAATCAGAAAAAGAGAATTCACCAAACAGTGGCCGACCAAAGGAGAAACTCAAGGTCTGTGAAAAAATAGTGGCTGAAAAATGGGACAACTAAGATGGTTCTTTTAATGTGGAATTAAAGGAGCAAGCTTTGGTTCGGGACCACCCGACCAGGAGGACGGGTGCGTTCGGAAGCAAATGGACTCGAAATAAAAAACTTTACCAATTGATGTGGATCCTCGCTTCCCAGGCATGAATCGTACTCAGATTCGGAATGCCAAGCGCAGGTACGCGGCGAGATACAGAGACAAGGTCGCTTCATCGAGGCAACCAAGTATGCAAGGCACTTACAATTCTTCGGAAGGAGGTCGGTACATACGGGGCGCCTCAGCAAAGCAATTGAACGACAGCCAAGGCGCTGCTAAGTTATACTGAAAGAGGTCGGTCCATCAGGGTCATTTCGTTTGAGCAGCCGAATGAGGCAGAAGAAGGTCGGCCCATTGAGGTTCCCTCGTCAAAGCAGCCGACCAGCATACGAGACACTGCTAATTACAATGAGGGAGGTCGGTCCATGCGAAGAAACGGTAAAGGCTTGACTGATGAAAAAGTTGAGGGTTTCAGATGTCAGTATTGTGAGAAGATTAACATTAACCCATCTTTGGAGGAATTTCGTTTGGAATCTCTGACTGTTCAACCCGAAATTGAAGTCGGAGACGAAATTCCAGAGAAGGGTTCAAGGTCTGTCAAATCTCGACTAGGGCCACGTATCCCCTGCCGAATGACAGAAATTAATTGGGTTGAGGAAGAGCCTTTGTGGGCAAGTTTGGTGGATGAGTCTATAGAAGAGCAAGAATGGGCAAAAATTGATGATCCTGATTTTCAATCAGAGGTCCCTCTAATAGTCTTCCCTCCAATTCCAGAAGGCATGACGTCTTATTTGAAGTCTCTGTACGTTAATGCTCATATTTGTGGGAAACTAATCACAAAGGTTTTCATAAATAATAGGGCCGTCTTCAATGCAATGCCATTAAAGACTCTCAAGAAGTTAGGAAAAGGAATTCACGATTTATCTCCTGTGGATTTTGAGATGACTAGCTTTACAGGGCAGCCGACCAAACCAGAAGGCATGTTGGTCGCCTCA